TGTTTTCGTTCAAATCAAAGCGTAAATAAAGAAAGAAAACGTATCCGTGTGGTGCGGCTGACACAGACAAGTAGAACAGTATACGCAGTTTACATTCAGTGGACACTCTCCAAAATGGTGCTACGGTGACGCGGAGGAGACGAATTGCTGAATAAAGTCATTACTTTTGTTTTCTTTGCGTACAAAAAGTATTCTCGTCACTTCATGAAATTCAGATTGAACCACTGATGGCAGATGGACTATTCTGACGATGTCTTTCATACTTTTCTGGACCTTGACAGTGTAAGTTACTTGGCAGTCAATGGGACAGTCACAAGCCTCCCGGTTTTCATCCAAAATATCTTAAATTGTGTTCCGAAGACGAACAAAGCTTTTGGGGTGGAGTAACCCTTTAATGTCACATAAATGAACACAGCAGATGATTATTATCACTGTTATTGTTATTGGAGCAGAACTCATCTAGTGAAAGTGAGTGCTGACCAATGAGATTTGGAGTTTGTTGCATCATGATACTGTAGATCAGGGATGGGCAACTTTTTCTCCTTTATTACAAGGGACCAGATTACGAATCCACGTCCACACACCGTTTACACCAAAAAGTTATTCCAAATGGTACCATAAAATAACCTGGTATCTGCAGGATTTTTAAAATCAAGTTTAAAAGTATCAATTATTATATTAATTTAAACAATTATTTTCAATTAATTATTATGTTAAATAACATATAAATATATCTTAGTGTCTTAATTGTTTAGATTTTTATAATGCATTAGATTTTTGTCGATCCACTGGTTCACATTTAAAAATATGTAGCAAAAATAGCAGAAGGGCTTATTGAAAATGCAAATTCGTTCTCTGCCAGCAGGTTTCACTTTCGGAACCGCATAAATATAGCGGTTTTCCGGTAACGGCTGTAAACTACACGACTTTGAAACGTGCAGCGCTCAAGTTTATTCAGTGAAATCGTAGCCTTTTGAAGTTTAACCGTCATATTAATCCATATAGCAATTCTTGTCTTTCCGTCCCCAAATTTAAGACCTCTTATAATTAAGACTTTTTGTACCATTTAAGAGTTTTCATGGCCTTAAATTTAAACAATTAAACTGAAGACTTTTTAAGGACCTGCGGAAACCTTAAAGTGCCCTTATTATGGGTAATGAAAGATTCATATTTTGGTTTGGGGAACCCCCAACAACAAGTTGTTAGCATGCAAGGTCAAAAAAACACTTTCATTGTCTTATAATTAGTGGTCGACCGATATATCGCCAAGGCCGATATATCGGAGCGCTGAGAATGGCAGTACACAGTGAGGCGCACACAGTGCTCACATTCTCCCTCTTGTTCGCTGTTGTTGTTAACAGTTCTGTCTAATACGGATTGAAGTATGTCTAATAATCAGATAGAACGGTTAAACAAACGAATTAAAATGTATAAAAAAAGTCTTATAACAATTGCTTTTATATTATTAGTAATAGAAAGGCAAACATTATAATACTTTCTTGTTTGCAGTCAGCATTCAGCGAATACGCATTTATATCATTTAAACAAATCTTTGAATGTCTAATAAACATCTAATTTCAAAAACCTTGCAAACTTAGTCGAATCCAGCTGTGAGATCTTGTGAAGTGTGCAT